ACTGGCACAGGCTGCCCAGGGAGGTTGTGGAGTCTCCTTCTCTGGAGATATTCAAGACCCGTCTGGACAAGGTCCTGTGCAGCCTGCTGTAAGTGACCCTGCTTCATCAGGGGGGTTGGACTGGATGAACCACAGAGGTCCCTTCCAACCCCTACCATTCTGTGATTCTGTGATAAAATGTTTTCCGTGTAATATGTTGAAAATGGAAACTGGACAGGTACAGAATAGATATGAACAGCTTTCTGTTAGAGTTGTTCTGGTTTATATCAAAGAAAAGTAGAATAGTTGAAGTTAGAAGGCACCTCTGGATTGTTTAATCCAACTCATCCACTCCAAGCGGAGTCTGCTAGAGCAAGTTGCCACAGGGTTGTATCCAGTCATATTTTGAGTGTATGGAAGGATGGAGACTCCACAGCCCACCTGGGCCTTATGGGAGAAAGGGTTTCTCGTTCCCTAAAATTTTAAAAAAAAAAAAAAAAAAAGCAGCAGGGGTGTGTTTTTTTTATGTTCAGACAGAAGTACTTGTCTTTCAGTTCGTGCCCACTGGGTCTTATCTGTACACTGGATGCCCCTGAGATGATTAGGTGAGAGTACAAAGAAGGAGGAGTCATCAGATATTTCTACACAGGATTGATAAGATCCCACTGAGCCTTCTCTTCTTGGGTCTAAGCAGACACAGCTGACTCAGTCTCACCTCATATGACAGATGCTCTGGTCTGTTCATCATCTTAATGCCCTTTGCTGAGCTTGCTTGTATGTCCAGGTCCCTCTTATACTGGGGAGCCCAGAACACAGCACTTCAGATGTGGTCTCGCCAGAGCTTAGTAGTACCTCCCTTGGCCTGCTGGCAGTGCTTGTCCCAGTGCAGCCCAGGAAGTGGTTGGCTGCCTTTGCTGCAAGGACAGAATCACAGAATCACAGAATAGTAGGCGTTGGAAGGGACCTCTGTGGGTCATCTAGTCCAACCCTCCTGCCGAAGCAGGGTCACCTACAGCAAGCTGCACAGGACCTTGCCCAGGAGGGTCTTGAATATCTCCAGAGAAGGAGACTCCACAACCTCCCTGGGCAGCCTGTGCCAGGGCTCCGTCACCCTCAGAGGGAAGAAGTTCTTCCTCATGTTCAGACGGAACTTCCTGTGCTTCAGTTTGTGCCCATTGCCTCTTGTCCTGTCACTGGGCACCACTGAAAAGAGCTTGGCCACATCCTCCTGACACCCACTCTTGAGATATTTGTATGCATTTATTAGGTCCCCTCGCAGCCTTCTCTTCTTCAGGCTGTACAAGCCCAGTTCCCTCAACCTCTCCTCGTAGGGGAGATGTTCCAGTCCCCTCATCATCCTTGTAGCCCTCCTCTGGACTCTCTCCAGTAGCTCCTCATCTTTCTTGAACTGGGGAGCCCAGAACTGGACACAGTACTCTAGATGAGGCCTCACTAG